CTAACTAAGTGGTTTACACGTTTGTCGGTTTTTTGGCGCCGGGTTGGGTGGGGGAGGTGGGGGGGGGGGGAAGCCTCATTTTGTGTATGGTGAACTATTTCTGCAACAGAGTATTAGTGCCAGACAAAGATTTTTTTCAAAAATAAATTCATGATATTAGCAGAATAAAGACGCAATATGCTAGAAAAAAATATGTAACATTACTAGAAAAAATGTCTTAAGGAGATCAAAGTTTTGACATAGTTATCACAATCTGATGTGGCCAGCCAGTCAAATCCATGTGGTTCGTTAACTTCGTTGTTTGTGCAACTGCTTCAAAGTTCTGCTACTGATAACAGTTTCATACTGATGTGTTAAAAGACTAAGAATATCTTATTTGTAAAACCAATACCAAATTATAATTTTACAAGATGCTCAACATTCATCTTGTAATTTTTTATTATTTTTTTTTGTGTAGACGTTATAAAAGGGTGCAGTTGGTAGAGCTGTTGCTTTGCAGCAAGAAGGTTCTGGGTTTGATTCCCGGCCCCGGTCTTTCTGCATGGAGTTTGCATGTTCTCCCTGTGCATGTGTGGGTTTTCTCTGGGTACTCTGGTTTCCTCCCACAGTCCAAAAACATGACTGTCAGGTTAATTGGTCTGTCTAAATTCTCCCTAGGTGTGAGTGTGTGTGTGCATGGTTTTGTCCTGTGTGTTGCCCTGCGACAGACTGGCGACCTGTCCAGGGTGACCCCGCCTCTCGCCCAGAACGTTAGCTGGAGATAGACACCAGCCATCCTCCCGACCCCACTGAGGGACAAGGGTGTAAGAAGATGGATGGATGGAGTTATAAAATTTCTATTTCATTCTCCTAATATTGTGTTTTTATTCTCATAATATTACGGCTTTCTTCTTGTCATATTATGATTGTATTCTCATAACACCGACTTTACTTGTCATTATATTGTTTCTGTTTTAAGCTTTTTAAGTATTGCTCTGACTGTAGATATGAATGAGTTTAGACAGATACCTATTGTATTCACTTTTTGAATGACAATGATCAAATCATATCTGACGTTAAAGACTTCAAATGTATTCTCTTTTATTGTTCCCATTTTGAAGCATAGGGAATGAAAGTTATGGATTATTAACACAATGTTAATAATCCATAATAACGTCATAAAGTTGATCTTAGAAACTTAAAGTTCTTCATTTACTTATATTTTAAAGTTATTTTTGGAGGTGCCAGTAAGCTTATTAAAATCAATTATTTATTACTCACACTGAATATATATATTACAGTAGAGGTGGGAAATTATGTTTAAAATTCCCAAGCTATCCATATTGGTGGGATGATTAGTTTTTACTATTTTCTCCACTGTTTGTTGAAAGAAAGCATCAATAAATTTGAAAGTATGATTTGTGGTTTAATGATATAAATAACACTACTTTGTATGACTGGTGACCTAAAGTCCATTCTGAATAGGAATGTTTGTGGGGCTTTAATTGCTGTGACACCCAGTTGCAGCCAAACAGTTAACTAAAAAAGAAGTAAATAGTTCTTGTCACTTTTATCATTATCACTCACAACAGTACCATAAAATACTGTGAAATAGTGTGTGTATATATATATATATATATATAGAGAGAGAGAGAGAGTCTATACACCACTTACTTGAAGGTTCTATTTTCTCTCTGTCACATACATATCTGTATATACATATTTATAATATAAATATATTCTAGATTTTTAACACTAGTTTTTTTTTTTTAATCTTTTGTTATTGTTACTAGGATGCAGTAACTTATTTTCCAAATTTTTAATCTCTGTTGATTTTCTTGGTTCTGTTTGTTGAAATTTCAGGAGCTCACCTCCCTCCATCCAATGCAGCAGCTTGTTCTGATGCCGCCCTCTCACTTGTCGACTCCATCCCCCTTCCTCCTCTCCCAGAGTCCATCCAACCATCAAGGTGGAGTCTCATTTAGTTTTTTCTCTTTCCAAATGTTAACTAAGGCCTGTAGGGAGTAAAAATTGAAAAAATATGACGACTGCTATGATATAGTAACAGTTTTGAGAAACAACTTATTATGGGGACATACAATGAACAATCAATATTCACCAATCCATTAGTTTTGTATTGAGCAATTAATCTGAACAAAATAGGTAAGTAACCACATAAGTAAATGTAATTTTGCACAGAAGTGTATAGTTCAGTATTGTTTCATGTCTATCCAAAGCAATTATTGATTAGCATCTTGCTGTTTTGCAGCCCTCCTGCAGCCAAACCTGCTGTCCCTTCCTGGACAGAGTCCGGGTCTTCTTCAGCATCAGTCTGGGTTAGCTCTGACTCCCCAGGTGAGTCATGCAACTGTTTGCAACTGGCTTGTTCTCAATTTTAGTGCAGCTAAATACAAAAGTAGAAATTGAAAATTGTTTTTTTAGTTTGCTTTCCTTAAAGGGGACATATAATGAAAAATTCACATTTAGCATGTTTTTGTACTTTAATTGGGGTTTCTAGTGCTTCTAAAAACAGCCCAACCACTTAATGTTTTTTAATGTCTGGAAAATTAGCTATTTCAAAAACCTTATGAACGAAACATCACAAATGAGCAGGCCTCATGTAGCAACCCCAGTGAACTCTGTCCATTACTTAATGACCCCAGGGGATTTCCAGCATGTTTGGTCAGCTATACAATGGCTGCTGGGGGAAAAAAAGTTTTGTTGTTGATTTACCATCCAAAAATCACTTGCTGCATTCTCATTGCTTTGCAAAAGGCTCTACTTCTGTTTTTCAAAAATGTATCATTGTATAACTGCCACATCTCTTTGCAGTCATTTACACGTGAGAGAGTAATCTTAAGAGAATAAAAATCATTAAGTTCTGGCTCGTTATATTCTCTCGTCCTCCCGGATCCATTGATGCCATGCGTGGAAATAAAAGCCACACAGAGTTAACATTCAGAGCTCCACGTCATGCATTTTCAGAATTTATTCCAACATTTAAAAATATAAAATCACATTGACAACACAGACACTTCAAACATACTAAAACAGACATTCATTTACCTGAGACAAATAGAAAAGAAAAAAGAAAGGAAGGCAAAGACGTCTTTGGAGCGTTGCAAAAGCAAATCTGATTCGTTCCTCTGGGGCCCTTACTTTTATTCAAAAAGGTGTTTTTTTTGTTTGTTTGTTTTAATTTATGCAGTTTTGCGATTAAGGCGTGTTGTTCTCTTTGTATGGATAGACCCAGTTTCAAATTAGTCAGTTTGGGCATTACCTTCTGAGACCTGTTTAATTTCAGGGCTACGGCGCTTCTCTATCTAGACAAGGGAGACCTATAGGGTCATTTAGAGCAGGCTCTTCTCCTGCCAGTTTGAAATGTGATGTTTCTCCTAATTCCTGGTTGGAACAAAGCCTCTAGTCTTTTACCAGAGTTCAACCAATAGCAAACCTGTCTTAAACCTATTTTATTTCCCTGTTGTGTAATTCCTAATACAGATCAGTGCAGTAATTTTAAATTGACATGAAGCCTGGTACGCAAAGTGGTTCAGAACTTCTGCATCCTCTTAGATCAAAGCGCAGATTTTAAGAATAAAACACTTATAGAATATACCTGAGCATTTCAATAAAAACCCATTCATTCTAAACATTTTCTAATTAATGTTATACTAGTTTTGATTATATGTTTGGCTCACTTAGTGTTACAAATTTAGCCTGATTACCAGTGTTAATATAAAACTACAAATTAGACTAGTTCAAGTTATGTTAATTTTAACTAAATGGTATTCTACTAATTAAATTGCAATTATTGTTGGTATTGTCTTGTCATTTTTGTTAAGTTTTAGTGTCTCTCTGAGGGAGATGACTTGAGAAGTCTCCTCTGCTGCCTTTGTGCCAGAGTTCATTTATGACGTGGTTCCTTCCTGATAACAGACATTCTTTTCTGCAGGGCTAACTTAAAGTCCTCTAAGATGTTATCCAAAAGAATCTTACTCAATCCACTATTTTCACATGTCATAAAATGTAACTGTATTAAACACTAAGAATATTCATTTTCCTCAACGGTAAACATTGGGTTGGGGATGTGGCCAGCAGAAGCTTATTTGGACTTTAAGTTACAAGAGACTGTAAAACAGCTAATTCTGAAGGATGTTCAAAATAGAAAGAACTAACCATACTAAAATCTCATTATCCCAGAATGAACTTCTACAAAAAAAATATAAAGAACCTGTGTTGGATAGCCCATTGAGCTATCCTCCCCTGTTTAAGAAACCATATAAGATTATTCACTTAAATCCTTCAGTGATTAGATGGTGCCACCTTTTAAAGCAACTAATTCAAGTCTCTCAGATAACAGTGTAGTAATGCACATCTGAGTAAAGTGAAAGTTGTCAATGGATTAGTTGGTTCATGTTAATGCTGCTCAACTTTGTCACAACTTCCTAAAGACGAAGATTTGTCTCTGTGATGGGTTTCCAATCCAGGCTATGAGTCGTTCCGGTTTGGCTGGACCGTCTCTCGAGAACCACATGGACATGTCGCACCTGCAGATGCCCAAACATTTGTCTGTGGCACCACAGGAGGAACCCAATGATTTGGAGGAACTGGAGCAGTTTGCCAAAGCATTCAAACAAAGACGCATCAAACTGGGCTTCACTCAGGTATTTAAGACATTGAGAAGGTTCCCAACTACTGAAAGCAAGGTAGGGCTGTACAGTGGCCCAGTTTGGATGGTATCCTTACTGCATGGTTTTTCTCTCTGTGCTCCAGCTTCTTTCAGTCACACAAAAGGTTTCAAATTTGGTCAACTGGTCACTCTAAATTGCTTTTATTTATGAATGTCTTATTTATTCTTTCTTCATTTTCGTTTCTGTGTTCTGTGATGGGCTGGTGATTGGCCCAAATGTTTTGACTTTATGTCTACACTGCAAAAACAGAAAATCTTACCAAGTATTTTTGGTCTGGTTTCCTTGCAAGATGGCAAAAAATGTCTTGTCCCACTGGCACATTATTTAACTTATAACTACTTTAAAAAAAATCTATATTAAGGAATTATTTACTTAAAAAGCTCATAATTCTTGCAGAAAATGTAATTGTAAATTAGTTTTGTCTTATTTGTAAATGTACAGTGTACCAACCTGTGCTGCTGTGCTTCGAAACATTATGTACAGAATGTGTGTGTGCAGGTTAGCAGACTCTGTAAACGGCACCGTTCACACTTTGACCAATTCGGTTCAAAGCTCAGTGAGTCGTCTACTTTAGACTACTAGTTTGCTGCTTGACTAGCCTTAGTTTACATGGCAGTGGCTGATTATTTTAATTTTATTGTTTTTGTTGTTCTGTTTGTTTTTTGTGTTTTATGGACCATGTTTGTTTCTGAATAAATAGGATTCATTTATTAATCATTTCAAGTATACTAAAGGTGCTTTTCCACTAACAAGTCGCGGACTAACTGGTTAAGGTGTGGTTTGGTTTTACCCCAGGTGAGCAAGCATTTCCATTTTACACTCTGCTCACATCCCACCTACTGTGGGCAGGATGTGAGCACGCAGCAGATCCTCGAAACATCTTTCCACTGATGCTTGCAAAGACACTCGGCAATGGAGAACCACGAGGTTCTGATGGACTAAAATAAAACCAGATATTTAATTTTGTCTTATAGAAATCCATTGCTGGCCCAAACATAATGATTCACTATATATGTATAAAACATTCTGGCACTTCATATTTTTAAATGTGCAACCTTTTGGATTTAGGTAGTGCAGTCAAAAGATGTAAACCAGTAGCCACACATAAACTTTATTATTATTATCATTATTATTGTTTAAATCCAAATGTTAAATAAAATTCACATCACAAGTTAATATTATATAGTTCATGTGTTCCTGCCGCTGCTCCTGATTAAACTCATAATTAAACTTCTCTGTTTTTGGCTCCCTGATAGCAGATGACATGTCTGCGGTTCACAGATAAACTTTAAATATTAAACACTAAATATTGTTTGGAGTTTTCAGTGAGGTAACTCACGAGCCAATCAGTGAATGTGGTCAGCTATAAATAAAATAGTTTCTGTGCCATACCCTGCTCAATCTGTCTTGCTAGTGCTACCCCTGAAGTAGGTACGAGAGTCTGAGAACAGCCTGACTAAGCCGTGCTGGACGGAGATCGTACCGGTGAGAGGCGGTCTAGTGGAAAAGCGCCTTATGATATTTACATTAGAAACTAGACCAAAAATACTTTGTAAGATTGTGTGCTTTTTGCAGTGTATATAGAGATTTAATTCCTTTATTTATTTTGTCACAGGGAGATGTGGGTCTGGCTATGGGAAAACTCTACGGTAATGATTTCAGCCAGACAACAATATCACGATTCGAAGCGCTCAACCTCAGTTTCAAGAATATGTGCAAGCTCAAACCATTGCTGGAGAAGTGGCTCAGTGATGCAGGTATATTGAAATACTTGACAGTATGAGATTATATGTTAAGAAAGCTGTATGAAATGCATCTTCGAAAAAATCCTAAAATGCAAATATTTGTCAATAGAATGTATTATTTGAAAAAAGAAAAAAGTGTTAAGAGGCACTGCAATATGATGAAACACCAAAGAAATTTAAGAAACTACACAACAAAAACAGTAGCAGAATTCTATAACCAAAAATACAATTGAACATGTTTTGTGGGTTCTTTCACTGATTTTCAGGTAGTAACAATTTTTATTTCTTTTTATTTTAGAGAACTCACCTTCTGACTCGATGAGCGCTTCGGCCTCTCTGCCGCCGCTGATGGAGGGCTATGGACGTAAGCGAAAAAAGAGAACAAGCATAGAAACAAACATCAAGTTGACACTGGAGAAACGTTTTCTTGATGTAAGACCAACAAAAA